TGGATTGACCTACTATATATATATATATATATATATATATATATATATATATATATATATATATATATATATATATATATAGAGAGAGAGAGAGAGAGAGAGAGAGAGAGAGAGAGAGGAAGGTTCAAGTGCGGCAGTGCGCTTAGGTGCGGCGGTGCGGTTAAATGTAGGCCATTAGATTAGATAAATTCAACGAATCACATTCATCTAGGCTTTTTCGATATTTTCGCGCACGTTCTCACACTACGCGAACTGCAAGGTTAAAGTCGTCATTGGGCACCTGAATAGATCAAATCATAGTGTTGTGTGTTTTATGTTCGTTATTGGTGCATTATTAACCTTACTGTGGTGTATTTGAGGATTCGTGTTGGTGCCAAGTTTAGGTGCGCCCGCGCCTTCCCATGCGGTCAGTGCGGGTGCACTAATAGTTATACAAATATACACCATCCATGTTAGAAAATGCACACCAAAAAAATATGTCACAAATTAGATATGCATCACCAGAACACACCATTAGGTATGAATAAAAGCACCACACAGTGTTCAGAAATACATCATTGGGGTGGTGAGTTATATGGTGTATTTTTTGAGTGTGTTGTGTGTTTTTTGGTGTATTTGTGCATTTCATTGTGGTGCTTTTTCCTAACACTATTGGTGTCTTTTGTTAACACTGTTGGTGTATTCTGAGAAGCGGCCGATATAAATGACCACTACAATTACCATAACACCCCCCACTTATCAGGACGCGCTTAAATCTTTAAATCTTCAGAAATTAGCCGCTGCCGTTAGATTAAGCAAAATGGACGATGCTGATATAACCGCACCGCCGCACCTAAAGCCACTGCCGCATTTGAGCGCTAATATATATATATATATATATATATATATATATATATATATATATATATATTAAATCCTTAATTTACAGCTAGAGTCTCATGTCTTCTTCAATTGCAATTCGCATCTCCGCAGCAAATGGAATGGACACAAATCTAGAATTTAAAAAAAAAAAAAAAAGAAAAAGAAATTAACACTTAGAATTGAATAGACTGAAATGACCTCATATTTAACGTCATTTAAATAAGTTTGTGGGAAAATGGCACTTTTTCCCCCCAAGTTATATACTTATAGCACTTTTTCCCCCTCAATTATTTATGTAAGCACATTAGCCCCCTCAATTATTTTAAAAGTGGTGGTTTTTCCCCCTTGATATATTAAATTGACATTTCTACCCTTAAAGTAAACATTTTATTTATTTTATTTCTCCAACAAATTATTATGTATATGTAGCAATGACCACGGTTCGGTTCGAACTGAACCGGACACTATAGCAATCGAATTAAAAGTTTTCGGATATGATTCAGATCTAGAATCCAATATTTAGATTTCAATTTATTAAATTTATGAACCAAAAAAACTGGATCATGAACCGTGAACCGGCGGTTCCGGATCCGGTTCGCGATTTTGAACCGTCTTTATTTTAAATTTTATTTTAAAATAGTCTAAATTCAACAATAAATGTATTTTATTTTTTCAGTTCGGAACATGAACCGGCCATTTCGATTTGCGATTTTAATAAACTCTAAATATCGCGTTTTGATTCTAAATTGTAATTGGAATATTTTGGTTTGGTTGCTATAGTATCTGTTTGGTTTGAACCAAATTATAGTAATAATTTGTTGGAGAAGAAAAATAAATGAAATATTTATTTTAAATATTTATTTTAAGGGTAAATATGTCCATTTAACATTTTAGGGGGGAAAAGATCCACTTAAATAATTGAGGGGGAAAAAGTACTATAAGTATATAACTCAGGGGGAAAAAGTGCCATTTTCCCTAAGTTTGTTGATGGATGACCAAAAATGACTATGCCACAATAATACTAGGACCAACAATGAGTGTTTTGAAAGAAAAAAAAAAAAAAAATGAAATGTCACCTATAAATCTAGGAGCAAAAATGTAACTAACTCTAATCTAAATGTCATTTTGGACCAGAGTCCACAATGCCAATCATTTTACCATAGATTATTGACATAAGGTACATTTTTATTAAACTAAATATACATTTTTTTTAAAATACATTATTTAGAACGATATACTATCAAGTACCAATTACTAAACTTTCAGTACCTAAATAATATACATGCATTCAGTATATTAAAAAGTTACATTTATTAATGGACCATGAATCCATGATCCACAATTTAATTGCCTCACAATGGAAGATGAATTTTGATCCATCATATAATTTCCCCACTCCTAGGCATGTATGGCTTTGGCGATTATAAGAGCATCCGCACTAGTAGTTATTTAGGAGTTATTTCTACATGAATTCTCTCCACCCAAAGTTAATAGTTGATGTGGGGAGGAGTTATTTCAAAAATATTTCTCGTGCAAAGTATGGTATATTTGTGGGTCCAGTAGATAAGAGAAATAATTAAAATATAGTGGGTTAAATGGTGGGTCCATAAAAAACTGAGAAATAACTCAAAACTGATGCATGTGGAGAAGGGTTTTTTTTTTTTTTTTTTTTTTTTTTTTTTTTTTTGTGATTGAATGAAATGATGGAGGATGAGGTGGATGCTGGGACCCACAAATAACCGAGAAATAACCTCAACTGATAAGGATGCTCTAAAAATTGGTGGAAGTGTGAAAGCGGAACAAGGTAAATTATTGTGTGGACCATGATTCACATAGTGCTGTGTGAATTATAACAAATAGTATAATTTTTAATATACTAAAATTAGTACATTATTCGTGTATTGGTTGTACATTATATTATTCGTATATTAAATGTACATTCTACAAAATAATATATTTTCAGTACTCAAATAGTGTACTTTCTCTGAATATAACGTACATTTTTAATATACTAAAAATATATTATTTGTGTACTGAATGTACATTATTTGATAGTATAATCTATACAACTGTGTGGATCTAATGATTGGCGGAACAAACACCCCACTTGTAATAATGCATAAAAGGACCAATTCAAGTCTCTAATGATAGGGGGCGATGGATAATGTGACCAACATTATATATATTGGTTGCATATATGCATTTTTCTCGTTTCATCCAAAACCGCAAACTCTCATCACAACCAAACAAAACGCAACTCCACTACTCCGGCGGCCCCGCCCCGCCCCACCCCACCCAGGCCCACTACACTGCTCCACCGCAACGTACGTAACTCCCATAATCTCCCGCGTCAGGCCGCTATCATTGTTTTCTTCTGTCGTCTCTTATCACACTATGTATAAGATACGTTATGATTATACTAAAAATAATTATAATTCTGTATTTATTTATTTCTGTATGTAAAATGAGCCGTGATGGTATACGATGTCGTAGAAAATCTTCAATTGAGAAATAAGAGATGGGGAGAGGCCCGTGAGACGAAAACGAGGGGATGCGTAAATAACGTGAATTCAAGCTTCCAATGTATCTATGTATATACCCACCATAATTTAATTTGCCTCTTAATGTATGTAACCTTTGATTTTTTTTAATATATATATAAATTCAGACTGAGATTATAGGTAATATCTGTTTTTTTTTTTTTTTTTTTTTGAATGTTACTGACTCTGATCTGATCTATTACAATGTACTATCTGAACCCGGGTGACATTAGACCACAAAGTCTTACTATAAGTAATATCTATTATATACTTTTTTTAATCTTTTTTAGATTTCAAAGAATCACTGCACTTATTACCACTAAGGTTAATTCGATTATATGATCATCTATTTAGAATGCTAAGAGAGGTGTCATCACATATACTATATATAATAGTTGGCAAATATATATATATATATATATATATATATATATATATATATATATATATGATGTCATAAAATTAGAAGATGCAGTGAAGCACATGAGAATGCATGTTCTCATGGTTAACAGGTCGGCTACAGGCTAGAACTTATCCTTTCCAAGCCTACACATTGACTGCAACATATATCTACAAACTCCTATATATAATCGATCTCTTCCGATCCACAATTAATTGAAAAAACTAATATAATTATTATGGTGGGATTTTTTTAGGGGTTATGTATTTAACTAGCTAGTTTTAATTTCATCCTTAATTATATTTATAAAATTTTTAATGGGCATAAAGAATAAGGAACATTATACAAGTAGAAGTAGCAATCAAACAATAATGTGTTCACGTTAAAGTGGCAAACGTAACATCAAGGCCGGGGTGAGATGAGACAAAATAAAACTAACATCACAGCTTCCAATTCGTGACTAGGCCATCCTCTTCATTAATCTACTGTCCTTTGCTAATCAAACTCCCTCAATCATTGCTCTTTCATGCATTACATACATATCATGATAATGGACCCTCCAAATTACAATTGGTATACCCTGGATCACGTCCACCTTATGTTGTCGACCCTTATCAAAAAATTATTTGTCTTCAATTAATATATTTAGTTGTCAAAGACAATCTTATGATCAAGCGGCATGAAGTGACTTTCTCAAATGATAGGACGTCATTTTGAACGAAATCCTACCATGCAAGATGGACTCAGGTCCACGATCTCTCCATATTTTTTAAGGCATGACAATGCTGCTGGAATAGGAAACACCGAAATCCATATCTACTCTTTATTTCTTTCTCTTATAACTCATGTGTGTATATATATACACACACATATACAGACATATAATATAATGCTGCAACTAATTATTTATGGAAATTTATAAAACCCTAGACAGTGTGTGTTTGAGAGATGGAGACACAAAAGCATAAAGGCAAGCACAGCTAGCTAGCAAGGAATTGAAGAAGGCTAGGCTAGGCTTGGTTCAACAGTGTAGTAAATGGCAGTAATAACTAAAAAGGCAGATCAGACTTCAGAGCACAGGGACTTAGTCATCGATCAGTGCTATAGATACAGTACAGTACGTACTACACATATATATAAAGAGGAAATTTCAATTTTGATCCTATGACTATTGTGGTCTTGTTAATTTCAGTCCCTAATTTTTAAAAGTGTCAATTTAATACCTTAATTATGCAATTTTTGTCAATTTTGGTCACTCCGACCAAATTGCTGGCCAAATTTCGCCGAAAAATTTTAATAGTTAAAATAATGAGGGTATTTTTGTCATTTCACGTCTCTGTTCTTTTTCTTCGGCGAGTCCATCCCTTTCTCTCCCGTTTCTAGTGAATGCAATGAACTCCAAAAAGTATAAACTCCCGCTTGATGATATGAAAGATAGGGTTTGCACGGAGAAAGAACGCTGGAAACAGGAGAGAAAGGGATGGACTCGCCTAGGAAGAAGAAAAGAAACATGAAATGACCAAAATACCCTCATTATTTTAACTATTAAAAATTGCTGGCGAAATTTGGACGGCAATTTGGCCGGAGTGAACAAAATTGACAAAAATTGCATAGTTAAGGTACTAAATTGACACTTTTGAAAGTCAAGGACTGAAATTAACAAGATTCATATAGTCATAGGACCAAAATTAAAATTTCCTCAATATATACATATATAAGTCCATAATTAGGTTAAAACCAACATTAACCTGGGAAAGCGGATTAGTGAAGGATTGCACCGCAACTACTACATGATTGCACTGCTACGGCTCTTAGACATACCTGGAGGACCTTGAGGTGCAATTGTATCCGGGTACCATACAATTGTATCTGAGTACGATGCAATTATGTAATAAGTGCGGTGCAACCTGTTTATGGACCCCTCTCTCTCTCTCTCTATATATATATAGTGTCAGTAGCTGAGGAGACTGAAATAACAAACTCAGACAGTGAAACTACAGAACTGATGAAGAAGGGTACTGACTCAACATTTTATTTATACAAATTAAATAAATTACGTACTATTCCATTAATTATAATATATAACAGTACAGTAGATATTCCAAGTACAAGAAATTTTAATTTTTTTGTTTGTTTGTTTGTTTGTTTTTTTTTTTTTCATCTAGTTTGAGATAAATTTTTTCCTAATAATCATTACTAATAATGATTACACGAGATTATAATACATTTTTTTTTTCTTTTTTTTTTTTTTGCTATGATCACAATGTAATGCAGCTTTTTCACTTAGCACCTTTAATCTAACCGGGTGAAATTACTTAAACAACTGCACCATATCAAAACAAAGAACAAGGGGGAAGGGGGGGGGGGGGGAGGGGGGATGACAATATGGAATTAATTACAAGCAATTTTTTGAATTCAATGAAAGACATAATACATGCAGAAACAAACGATGGGGAACCATAATAATTGATGACTATTGAAAAGATTCAGTATTTTGCTTATCTTAATTACTGAATTGATGCAACTCAACGAGAAAAAAGGATTGAAAAATAACCTAATTACATTGTTCCTAGCGAGCTAATAGACTGATCTCACGAAACAAAGAACACAGCTATTGAAATGGAAGAAAGGAGGGATAAAAATTGAATTTTTTTTTCCAGGCCTGATTGAGATGCGGCCGGGCTTATGGCAAGGAACTATAGTGATTGATGTTGGATGAGGACCAAGCTTGAAACCCATTCCAATTGGTAGAGTTTTGGTTCCCATTTCCAGGTGCGGTGTTGTTTGTTGCACTGGGATTTACCTGTGCATAAGTGTTGTCAAACAGCCATTCAGTAGCTAAGCTTCCATTCCCACCATCATCACAGTCTTTGGCATCAAAAGCTTCGGGTTTAGAAATCTCCAGATTCTGGAACAAGATGGGCTGTGGTTTCTGAATCATGTGGCTCTCGTTAACTGGAATGGATGATGAGTTATTAGCGGTGCTGATTATCTCTTTCTGGTTTTCTCCACCGAAGAACATGGCCAGCCTTTGTTGCTGTAGTTTCCAGTGGAGTTCTTGGTTTATGGAACTCAATGACTCGATTGAAGAAGCCAGGTTGTTGTTGTTGTTGTTGTTATCTTGAGGATGATGAACAACGTTTGAGCTACCCATTTCTTGAAACCCCGGCGAGGTGTTTTCTCCTTGGCGTTTTAGGATCGAAGGGAAAGAAAAATTGAAACCCAGAAAGGAGGTTGCGGCGGCGGCGGCGGAGGTTCCCGGCGGGTCAAGATTGAAACAAGGGTTTGATGGGATAACCGGGGAAGAGGTGGAGTAGTGGTCGAAAAGGGCGGTGGTGGGAGGGTTGTTTAGGGTAGGGTAGTTAACCCCTCCAAGTTGAAAATCCATAGCGGGGGAGAGATTGTTAAAGAACTTAAACCCCCCGCCGCCGATACCTGAGGAGCCAGTGGAGTCACCGGAAAGCCTGGACGCCGATGAGGACGAGGAGGAAGACTTCATTTTCTTGTTTTTCCGGCAGCCGCCGCCGATGGGGACGCTGCGTAAAGCCCCCCCTCTTGTCCAGTACCTCCTACAAGTCTTGCAGAAATGCCTGGGTTGGGAAAGGCTATAATTGTTGTAATAGCAAAACTTCGTGTTGGGAGAATCACATCTGGGGCACTTCAACGCTTGTTCTTGCGGCCTAGCCGCCGCCGCCGCCGCCGCGGTGGCGGCGGCGGCGGGCTTGCGGCCACCGCTGCCAGAGCTTTGTTGGCTGTCATCTTTGGTAGGTGTCGGCTTTGAGTCCATTCTGTGCAGGCGGGGCAGAATTGATGAGAAAATAAAAAAAAAAAAAAAAAACAAAGCAATAACCCTAATAATGGGCAGACACAAAAAAAGATAGGAATAAATGAATATATAATAAGAAAAGAAGAGAGATGAGAGGTGGAGGGTTGTAAAGTTTCCTTTAGGAGAGGCAAAGGTTGTTTTGAATGTATAATTGAATGATTTCATGCATGGGATTGTAATATAAGAGGAGGATGTTGATGGGTTGTGATCTTGTGAACTTCATCAAGAAGCTCTTTCTCTGATCTCAACTTTTTGGGAAGAAACTAAAGATGGTTTTGAGGGGGTTAGATCTGATAGATAGATAGAATAAATAAAGCTGCATATGATGAGAGAGAGAGAGCAAGAAGAGAGAGAGAGGGGAAGCGAAAAGAACAGAACAGATCTCACTAGAAGGACTAGGTAGTGAATGTATGTATATACTCATGAGGAGGAGGTGGGGGTGGGTGGGTGAGGGTGGGGGGTGGGTGGGTAGGGAATTGAAGGAGTAGTAAACACTAAACAGATAAAAATGACAAAATTAAAGGAATTATGCAAGGTTAAATTTTGTTTTTTTTTTTTTTTCCAAGATCACAATTATTACATTGCATTATGTAAATTCTTTATTAACTCCGATTGATTTTGTGGAACTATAATATTATGAAAATAAAGGATTAGATTTTAAAAATATTAGGTAGATAATTCTTATACATCATATACTTATAAAATATTGAGTAATGCTCTTTCTCTTCAATCTTAAGTGCGGAGTATAATTTATCTTTTTATGTGATACTATTTAATTAATTCTTTTTATATTTAATTATTAAGTAAAATTTTTTAAATTCATAGTAGGAGTGAGTAAGACATGCCAATTCGATCATAAGCATCAATAGATATAAAGAGTTTTATTATTACATTATGAGGTGAATTTATTAATAGGACAAAATAATAACATTAAAAAAATATTTGATTGAACATAATCCATTAATTTGAAGGTAATATGTCAATGAACATGGAATGCCCCGACAGAACATTTGTGAGGATGTAAATCATGATAACTTCGTTGAACATAGAGGCTAGACCTTATAACTTAAGTTAATGCCGTTAAATATAGTGGTCGTGTTTGGTAAAATAGTTAGCCTATCAGCCAATTTTGATTTATTTGGTCACTATTAGTTGTTTGACTTTGTTAAATAATCAATATGCGTGTTTGATTAATTAGCTTTTTGTAACAACTTATTGTTCTAAAATGCTAAATTAAAAAAGATGCTCAAAGTAGCTTTCTCGACCAGCTTTTTGAGAAAGTCATTTTGTATGTAATCAGCTAATAGCTAACAATTAATTTATCAAATATTTTTCTACAATCAGCTAATGCTATCAACTAGTCAAACTCACTAACACAATAAGCTAATAGTCATTTACCAAACACCCAAATTCTCACTGGTTTTTTTTGAGAAAGTAAACTTAATTCATTATATCAGAAAGAAGAATGTGTTTACAAGAAAAGATGGAGGGGAGTCCAGCCACTCCCCGCAACCTGACTTAGAAAAGGCCTCCCTAGAAACACAGTGAGCGGCACGATTCGCAGATCGCTTAACAAAGTAGAATTTAACATCCTCAATTTCAGATGCCAAATCCTTTACATCATCTACCAAATTGCCAAAAGCTGAACCATAAGACACATAAAGAATAGCATTACATACCAGTTGTGAGTCCATCTCCACATCCACATCTCCTAGTCCCGTAGCCTTCAGCCAGCTGAGAGCCTCTCTTACACACAAGGCCTCGTCATTCTCACTGGTTTTACTCCTTTTTTTTTTTTTTCTTTTTTTTTTTCTTTTTTGGGTATAGATTTTCTATTATTTTTTAACTTCTTATAGTTTTACTATTTTTCATTGAATATTTATGTATCATGCAATATTTGACGGTAAATATGGAGGTAATCCAAAACCAATTTGATCAGACAGTTTGTTTGGTAATTATAAGATTTCAAGTTTGATTTCTTGTTAATGTTGTCTATTGGCCTTGTGCAACCTAACCTTGTTTGTCACAAGACGAATTTCACCCTTAATTATTTAAGAACATTGGGTTTTATAATAGAGAGAAGAATAAACTTTTCATTTAATGTCAAAGGTATGCATACCAAAACTCTTGTAAGTAAAAGCAGAAATTAAAGAATAATACTATTCATTCATCCAAGATTGAATGAATGAAATTGAAAGTCATTCTCATATACACTCTGGATGTGATGTGATCACAGAATGTATGCATGCTGCAAGTTGAAGTGAAATTAAATGTTATGCATATATACTCCCAATTTTTACTATCAAACTAAAAATTTTGATGTAAACACTTTTACTGAAACTTACATGAAAAACATAGTTTATCAGTATCTGTCATTGTTGGCCGCCGGCCAGATTGGCTGAGTTCAGCCCCTGTTTGATTCGAGACGTGGCGTTGTAGCTTGAGATATATGGTTAAACGGTTAATGCTCATCTATACAGAACTTTAGTTAATGTTTAAGTAGGATATGACAATCAGATACACACATAACTTTGATTAAGCGTGCTTGACTTAGAACTATGGGATAAGCAACTCGCTGGAAAGTAAGTAACCATAATGCAGCGCTGAGATCCATTAGTCATATCATGGAATAAGACAGAGAGTGGTATGGTGTGAAGAAAGTACATAAATAGAAGAGGAGGACGCAGTAGGTATAGGGTACGGTGAGAGAGAGAGAGAGATGAGATGAGATCAGAGGTGCAGTTGGAGAACAGAAGGTGTAAGACATACTGCCACTACAAAACTAACAGCCTTGTCCCTTCTTTCCTATGTAATGTCCCTTTTACCTCAATTAACCCCACCCCTCTCTTCCATAAACAACCTCACACGTGTACAAACCCCATCCCTCCACCATCTCCCTCCCTTTCAATGTTCAATTTCTTGGATTGGGCGTCTAATGTACGTACTACCTTCTCAATTTCATTTTAATTTGATCGATGGATTTGATATTTGGACTTGGAGGGAATATATTTTTAAATGAGTTTAGGATAATGTATGGTAGGATAAAAGTATATTAATTATAATGTCAAAGCCAAAGATCTCGTGGTCCAATAACACCAAGTTACTCAGTGAGAAGTTGTGGGATTGAATTTTAGTAAATGTGATATTGGCTCTTTATGCTTTAATTAGGTGAGAAACTAGTTAACACTTCTTTATATTAGATGCAAATAATATGAAATTAGCGTTTTATCAATTGTCTCAAACTATAGACTCCATTTAAACCAATTTTTAGAGATATATGAAGCATTGTACGGAAATGGATTTTGGAAGCTTGAAGGTGAAGTTACTATGATTTTCGTAATGAAGTTTGAAAAGTGGTGATGACAAGAGACTGAAGCAAATGTGAAAACTGATCTAAAGTTGTTGTCATATTCACCTGAGCTGTTAAGACACGAGATTTTTAATCCTAGTAGGGTTATGAATGTAAAGCCAGAGTTTTACCAGGACCACAATTTTATAAAAACAGTGAATGTAGAGTTAGTGCAAAATTAAGTGAAAAATAATTTACCAAGACTATATGGTCTAATGGTACTTGGGTTGGACATCCATTTAAAAGGTTGTGAGTTCAAGCCTCAGTGGCGGCGTTATAAAGTATATGAACAGTCAGTAACATTCAAAAAAAGTGACAAATAATTTAATTGGCCAATTTGTTAAATTATGATGATTTTTAAAAATTTTAGTTCTCAGTGTTGAACATATAACCATTAATGTGCAATCCAACTATCAGCTTACGCTTTTAGTTGAGATGGAGCACATGCTTCAAAAAAAATGCGTTAGCATTTTCGTAAATAATTGAACATCGAAGTGCAAGTAAATGTATTACAAGTGCAAGTAACACTTTCATATAGTGCACCTAAGTGCAAGTAAAGTGTATTACAAGTGCAAGTAAAATGTACACCTAACGTTATAACTAGTTGCACCTAACATTATAATTAGTTGCACCTAGGTGCACGAAAGTTAACAAGGTAAATTACTTGCACTTGTAAGTGAAAATAGGTGCACTTGTAAGTGATTTTACTTGCACTTTTTACTTGCAAAAGTGCACAAGCTACTTGCACTTATAACACATTTACTTGCACCAAAGTTTGAATTATTTACGAAAATACCACTGCGTCGATTTTTAAAATTACATTTGATTCGTTGATCTGAACATGCGAACAGTTGTAAATGATTCTTATTTCTCTCCTGGACACTTGTTCTCATCAGAGCGTGCCCTTATATATATGCGCGCGAACACACACGCATACATACATACATATCTATCTATGTATGTATATATGTATATGTATAAATCATAAATTACATTATTATACTAGTTTTTAAGTTGTTATAATGTATATATTGATGTAATAATTATTTTGTGATGTGAAAGTATTGATTGAAAATTATTATTTATACATTTTTAAGTATTTTTAAATTTTACTAAAATATTTCAATCTTAATCTTGTTTGGATTTTCATGTCTTAATTCGTTAATAATTTGATTAATTTAAGTCCTTAGGTCAGTCAATTGAAATGTTTCACGTTAACCAAGATTTATTTTCTTTTTACGAACTTTATGTGTAATAATTTAACTCTAGTTTGCAAGTTTTGACACCCCTTCTTTTTTGACAAGATTTTATTAAAAGATAAGTTAGGAATTTTGTGACTGGAAATAATTCTTGCTTGTGGAAGCCATGACTTTCTTTTCCACATTTTTCTTGTCCATTTGATGTGTGTATATGATTGTGTCTAACATTCTCAATTTTTACATGATTCGAACTTGCAAGTTTTGACACCCCTTCTTTCCTTGACAAGATTTTATTAAAAGATGATGAGAGATTTCGTGACAGTAAAAATTTATTGTTTGTGGTAGCTAGACACTTTTTTCTCTAGATTTTCCTTATTCTTTTGATGTGTGTATATGTCTATGTGTAACACTCTTAACTTTTACATGATTCAAATTTGCAAGTTTTGACACTTGTTCTTCCCGGCCTTAACAAGATTTTATTAAAAGATTAGTTAGGTATTTCGTGACAGCAAATAATTTCTGCTTGTGGTGGCCAGTGCTTTCTTTTTTCAGATTTTTCTCGTTCTTTTGATGTGTATGTATATGTGTCTGTCTTGTACATTCTCAACTTTTTAATATACCAAACATTGTCAGCTTTTACATGATTATAGTTTGCGAGTGCTGGGACCCTTATTTCCTTGATAAAATTTTAGTGCAAGATGAGTTGGAGATTCCGTGACAGCGAATAATTCCTATTTGTGGTAGTTAGTGCTTTCTTTACCGGATTTTCCTCGTCCCTCTTGTGTGTACAACGCAACATTCTCAAATTTTAAATATACACTCTCAACATTCACGTGATTTGAACTTGCGAGTGTTAGCACCTATTCTTTCCTTGATAAGATTTATTGAAAAATGAGTTAGGAATATAATTTCGTGACAACAACAAATTTTTGCCTGTGGTAATTAGTATTTTTTTTCAAAAATTTTCTCGCCCTTCTAATAGCTATGCTATGTTACACGAAAACTCCGTGAGAATAGAGCTGAGCTTCCTAATTCATCTCCAAAACACGCAGAAACTCGTCTTGAAAATGTTTTTGTGTCATTTCTTAATTAACCAAAAATTTTCAGAATGTTTTTGGTCCGTTTCTAATTAATAAAAAAATTTGAAAATGTGTTTCTGAGCCTTTTTTTTTAATAACTCAAATTAAAAACTGGAAATGTGGCTTATAGGCAAAAAGCAATGTGGATATGGTAAATATGAATTTGCAAACATATAATAACATTCCTCAGTTTGCCAACTTATCTTTAGATAAACTTGACCAAGCTAGAGTGTGTGATGTTAGCTTGGTTTATGAAATGAAATTTAAAGAAACTTGTATCCTATTATATGGATAATGGAATAAATAAAGAATAGAAGATTGTTTGGTTGGATTAAAGAATAAAAATGTAATAAACATTTAAAACAAAAAAAAATTACAATCCATACTAAGATATGTATGTATGTAAACACATAATTAAAGTTCAAAATTAATAGTCAAATTTCAAGTAAACGGAGATTATTATTGTCAATAAAACTACAATTCATTTGAAATAATTTAAATTTTATCAACACGACAGTATAATATAGTAGTGTATATTTGGTAAATAACTGTTAGCTGATTGAATTAGTATATTTGACTAGTTGATAGAATTAGCTGATTGTAGAAAGATGTTTGGTAAATTGGTTGTTAGTTGATAGCTGATTACATGCAAAATGATTTTTTTAAAAAGTTGTTCAAAATAACTGTTTTGAGTAGCTTTTTAATTAGAATTTTGAACATTTTAAAGCAATAAGCTATTACAAAAAGGTGAAAGAAATAATTAATCAAACACTCCGTTGTTTAACCAAGTCAAACAACTAACAGCGTTTTTGGTTCATGTAAAGGTCGGGAATGGAATACCATTTTCGAGAATAGACCTATTCCATTGTTTGGTTTGTCTTTTCATGACTGGGAATAGCATTCCCGGGAATGAGCTATTCCCTTTGCAGGAGGAATAGCCATTCCTAGGGGACCCCCCTGGTATTAGCTATTCCCAAGTATTTGGGAATAACTTTTGTACTCTAATACCGAAAATACCCCTTTTGTATATATATATATATATATATATATATATATATATATATATATATATATATATATATATATATATATATATATATAACCACCACCAACACCATCACCACCACCACTAGCACCACCAGCACTGTCGCTGCCACCGTCGTCGCCACCACTACCACTGCCACCACCACCGCCACCACCACCGCCACCGCTACCGCCGCCACATCCACCATCGCCGCCGCTACCACCACCACATATTTTTATAAGGGTATTTATGTCTTTTAAAACATATATCATTTCTATTCCTTAAATCAACCAAACACTGTAATATAATTCCTAAAGTCTATTCCTTCCGCGAACCAAACAATAAAATACAATTCCTATTCTATTCCATTCCTTATGGAATAGCATTTCTATTACCTCAAAATTCATTCTATGAACCAAACGTGCTGTAATAGTGATCAAATAAGTTAAAATTGACCTATAAGTTAACTATGTTACTAAACATAGCCATAAGCGAGTTAGCGTAGGCAACGCTGACAACTAAGAGAGCAGATGGGAAGGTTATAGAATGTGTTTTTTTTTTTCTTTTTTTTGAATACTATTGACTCTATTATTACAATGCAATATCTGTTCATAACTACTTTCTCAACTAATTGAAGCACAAAGGTTATAGCCTGTGTTGGGAAGTAGAGATGCGGGAGGGAGCCGTCAAAATGGAGGAAATTAAACGAGGGGAGAGAGGATCTTGTGAAGCACAGATGAGATAAGCTAAGGGATTCCCGTGAGACCAAAACCAGAAAACATAACTTAGATAACCACAAACATACGTACACCACCACTGCACTACATACTAATAATAATTAATGTCTTAGCTTGTTATATACTCCACTACTATACGTTACTGTATTGTATATCCTCACCACAGCGTAACGTTACATCCATCTCCTTCACTTCTCACGGGCCCTACCCCCCTAGCTTCCAAGTGCCTAATTTAGTCATTTCCACCTCTTGGGAGTGCTTAGAGGATTCTACAAGCTAAGTCATCAAGAAATATGATGCAATTAATTCAAAATAGATGATGACTCTCAAAACATCTTGAAACATATATACATCTGGAGGATCCACACACACACATATATATATGATGATCTCCTGTGAAACGTAATAGACATGGTAGGAATTAGGAAAATATACCTCAGACTCCTTATTGCATACATTCAATACCTGGTTGGATACGAGCACGGCCCTATTTTAAGTTTTTGTGGCACTATTCTAATAAATAAATGTAGCCCTACAAAATCACAATTTTAAAAATTAATACATGCAAGTTTTGAATCTTTGACCTCCAAGTTAAAATACAATAAATACACATTCTCACAATCTCTTCATAAAACCTTTTAAATTCAATTGAAAACTTTTAATTTTTATTTCTAAACTATGTAAAAATTAAATATTGGACCTCTAAAATTTGGACCCCCTCTATAATTAGGGACCCTGTGCGGTAGCCCAGCTTGCACAGCCTAAAATCCTACCCTGGATACGAGCATATATACTTTAGACCCGAGTTATTTCTTGACCTGAATTGACCCTAAACATTGTTAGACCGATCCTGACTTGGAGGCACTATCAATTTTGTAGCTCAGTTGGCTAACCGTCCGCACCTTGCGAGGTCGGGTTTGACCTACATGGTCAGATCCCGACCTTAGAAGCCCGACCATGAGTACCTTGCGTTCGAGCTAAGCCCGATTAGCAACTGACACCACCTACATCATTACACGTGTCTTCTCCTCCTCGGTCCCGGGTGCATGGGAGACACGTAGCGAGCATGTCGATCCCTCAGCATGTATCCCTCGAATTCTCTATAAATACATCGACATAATATTTATTTTTTTCAAAAAATAATATATTTGGTATATTGTATATAGAGTTAATTCCACCAAAGGTCCCTTGTCTTTGGTGGCAAATACAAATTTAATCCTAGACTATCGTTCATGATCACAATTCGTTCGTGAACAAGAAATAATCTACGTTCATATTCGCGAACATTATTAAACGAACACTAAACGAGCTTGTTCACGAACATTATTAAACGAACACAAACGAGCTTGTTCACGAACATTATTAAATGAACACAAACGAGCTTGTTCACGAACATTATTAAACGAACACAAACGAGCTTGTACACGATCTCTTAGCAAACGAGCATACAACTGTTCAAACTCTGTTCGTTTATTAACCGAGCTCTAATTTTTGTTTGTTAATGGTTCGTTTACCTTAACAAACGAACATAAACGAACGCTTACCGAACACGAACACGAGTAGTTTACCGAAAGCTCTGTTTGCTAACACTCTTACCTAAAACCTAACCCTAGCAATCTTCGGGTAATCGGACGGGTCGGATGGGAAAAAACCAAACCCCATCCGAACTCCTTTATCCGACGTTGTATGAGCTGCGGATCGGATATGGAATTTCGGATGGCGGTCGGGTCATATGCGTTGGTTTCGGATTTCGAATCGGCCGGATTCGTCGGGTTGGGTCGGTCCTAAAAAGAAGCGTTAATCCAAACCGTTACCATCATAACAAATAGTCAAATACTACTGCTTTTCTCAAGCTCCGTTTTAAGTCTCCAATTGAACGAACAAATAGTCTCCGTTTGTTTTTGACTTGTTTTCCTTTTTCACTTGTGTTTTGGTTGCTCCAAGCGCCCGCTGCTATCTGTCAAATTGTGGCAGAAACTAAGGCGACTGCTAAGTAGAATAGAACTATAGAAGTCGTGGTCTCTCTGGTAAACAGAAGGTTATTGTTTGAAAAATTCTTTTCCGCTGCACGCCAACTGTTCGATAAATTGTCTCTTAAAAAATTTGAAGCATATATGTGTGTGTGGGTGAATTGCGTAGCTGTTTTACAATCTTAACTATCTATGGAAGTATGGATACTGGAAACAACTTTCGTATTTGCTCTGTTTGATAAAATTGAAACTTGGAAACTGGAGCCTGAACACCGTGCATTGAATTTGTTTTGCCCTTTTTTACTGACTATGGAAGGGGATTTAATTTGTTTTAGTTTTCAGGGTGTTGAGTTAATGCTGCAAGTTACATTCTTTTTTACTTTTTATTTTTTTAAGGAAGAGCAGATATATCAACAATATTATGGCTGCAAACAGGCCTCGGACTAGCAGTTTCTCTCGTAACATTGCTGCTGCTCCCGTGTCCCAGATTCCTGGACTTAAGCATGGCCCAAATGGCACAATGTTTCTTTCATCTGGCATATCTGATCTTGACAGTAATTTCATGCCACTATTCTCCCTTTCTTTTCAAATTCAAAGTAACTATACACAGAAGAGAATGCTGCAGATGAATGTTGTTGGATCTATGAGTTTGATAATTTTACATTATTTGCCTTACAATATTACTCTAGTTGGTAGGAGAGTTGATAATTTGTGGCAATTTGCCTATTTTATGGTTACTTTTAGAGATTTTGGGTGGCGGATTCTCTTTGGGGAGTCTAGTCTTGGTGATGGAAGACCCTGAGGCACCTCATCATATGCTTTTGTTGAGAAATTTTATGTCTCAGGGGATTGTTCACAAACAGCCGCTGCTTTATGCCAGTCCTGAAAGGGATCACCGTAGTTTTCTTGGTATTTTGCCAAGTCTAATGTCTTCCAAGGATGACAAGTCTCGTGAGAGGGACACAGAACAGGTACCTGCCTTATTTTCTTTACACTACATGTACACACAAAAATGTTCATTCATGTCAGTTAAAGGAGTAGTAATTTCCTGAAATATTAATATATACTTGCAAATTACAGGACAAGGGTTTAAGAATTGCTTGGCAATATAAGAAGTATTTCGGGGAACAAAATTCAGAGGTTCAACGAGGTAAAATTACTTGAACAAAACTTTCTTGAGTTTCTTCCCTCTCCTTTTCAGCCTGTATGGTTTATCATGAGAAATCCTTTCCCCTTGAAGTTATTTCTGTTGAAAACTAAAGAGTTAGGTTTATCTATAGGGTTGTGTCTATTTATGAATAGGTGTCAGTTATGGGTAGTTACGGGTAGTTACTTACAGTTATGTATTTGTGTATATATATGTACTGTGTTTCTGTATTAGAAACAAGAGAGAATATACTAATATAATTTCAGTTTTATATTCATTTCCTAGTCTTGATTCTTTATATTGCTTCCGCCTAACTTGCGGGTGGTATTATTCTCCACCCGCCAGGCCATTCCATCTTCCAAATTCAACATGGTATCAGAGCCTACTTTCCTAGGGTATTTCAAACATCAAAATTGTATTTTTCCTTGTGGTGATGTATTCTCCGGTGAAAATTCCAGATTGTTGTTTTGCCCTTGGACCTTTTGGTGAAGTTTGAAGGCTTTTTGGGTTGGTTGCCAAACCTCTTTCCGGGGTGTTTTTGGTATAACCGTATTTGTTTCTTTATATTCGGTATACCATACTTAGTCCCTAGGGTTTTCATGTTTGGCACCTTGTTTATTTCCGGAAGCTTCTTTTGTTATTCACTTATCCTATAAGAGGTATAAACAACAATCATGTGGTTTTCTCGGTATTCATACAACAATCTATGGGCTCTACTACATCCCCTTTGCTGCTCATGATTTGGTTGCTCTTCCGTTCTTGATGGAGATTGTTGATTGGCAAATCCTAGAATGCTTATGTTACTGTGAGGGTGTTCGTGTTAATCTTCGCCCTTGGTGACTTCATTCCCAAGGTTGTTTGTGACAAGCTTCGCCCTGGTGCCTTCATTCCCAAGGGTTGTTTATAGCATTGTTCCTCCGAAGCCATCCAACACTGTTATTCTCTAGCTGCTTTTAATCTTCATTTGTAATGTAGAGTGTATGTTTTAATCCAAGCTTGGAACTTCTAGATGTTCCAGCTTGAGGGGGAGTGTTGAAAACTAAAGAGTTAGGTTTATCTATAGGGTTGTGTCTGTTTATGAATAGGTGTCAGTTATGGGTAGTTACGGGTAGTTACTTACAGTTATGTATTTGTGTATATATATGTATTGTGTTTCTGTATTAGAAACAAGAGAGAATATACTAATATAATTTCAGTTTTATATTCATTTCCTAGTCTTGATTCTTTATATTGCTTCCGCCTAACTGGCGGGTGGTATTATTCTCCACCCGCCAGGCCATTCCATCTTCCAAATTCAACAATTTCCATGTGGCAGTTGTCAGAAACTGAAATAACATTAAACAGTGGTTCTTCAGTGAAGCAACATTATGTAAGTTTTTGTATGTTAAAGTAATATACTAAAATTCAAATGATGCTACAATCTAATTACATAACTTAAATTTGGATTTTTATATGTATATTCGTTACTAACTTTGAGTGCTGAGGATAGAACTCTAAGTTTGAGTTTTCTTGCTTTCCAGGAGTTGTAATTTACCCATGTTATATTATCTTCACCGAACCATAAGCACATTCTTCCTGAGCTTTATCTTTTTCTTTATTGGTACCCATGCACCAAACATACTGTAGTTGTGTGTGAAGAGGAGCTCATCTATTGTGTCATGCAGGTGGAAAAGCTGAATATTGCAATGACTTTGACTTGCGGAAGCCATTAGAGCGGCATTTCCTTAGTGGACAACGCATTGATTGCATTAGTCTTCAGGATTTTCCCAATCTAGACCCTCTACGTCGGTGTTGCTCAACTTTCTTAGCCCAAATCCCAAGGTATTAACATACTCCATATATTTCTGGAGATAGGTGTTAATGATACTGCCGATGAATAATATGATGATGCCTAGGCTTAAATATTATTGAGCTTGTGAATGACTTATTTAATAAATGGACTGATAGGTCTGTGTTTGTTTACCTTCTAGTTGCTCAAATTTCTTAAGATCTGTTGAAAGTTTCAGAAACAATACACTATCAAGGATCTTTATGCTATCAAATGGAATGCTATACAAGGAATAAGATGAAAACTGAACTTGATTGAGGATTTAAACCATGGGCAGTCTAGGACAATACACACTCACATTAAGAGGACACAATTTTAGAAATGTTAGAAAATTGCATTTTGATTCCTAGAAGGTAACCAATATATATATTTCTAAGATTTATTTTGCCTGCTCAGGGTGGTAAATAGTTCTATATGATATATTATCAATTGTAATGTAAATCTTCTTTGTTGTCAGATGTGATGGTAACATGACTTGCACAGGCAGGATTGCCATTGAGTCACTATGTGCTCCTCAGTGCGACTTTTCCAACAACGTCAGTGGCAATGATCACTCTCAAATTTGATTTGTTACAGTTCTTGTTTGCATTTTTTTTAAGTATGCTTTTTGTTCAAACTTCAAAGTGTAAATTCGTTTTCAAATATTCATCTATGCTATAAAGATAGTGTGGCCAGAGTGCAATGGGGTTTGATGTTTATTCACAAAAGCTTTTTTAAAGTTCGGACACTGTAGAGATGAAACTGGTTGGCTCTGACTTCTGGTCTGCTGCTTATATCTCAATACAGGAGTGGGACATCCTTTCTTTCATCAGATCTTTGAAATGCATGATACGGTCCTCAAATGCAGTAGCAGTCATATCTTTTCCTTCATCTCTTATTTCCCCATCCTCCTTGAAGAGATGGCAGCATCTAGCAGACACATTAATCTCTGTTCAACCAATTCCAGGTTTGTAGTTCTTGCATTTTGCATATATAATAAAATTGTATATTGTTTTGTTAAAATATGATCCATAACTTGAAGCTTGGATCAGATGAGGACAAGGACTTGGCAAAGCTTCTCACAGGTTACCAGGACATGGTTGGTCTTCTCAATGTGCACAAAGTGGCACGTATTAATACACAGGTATATACTGTCTTTTTAACTAGCTCTTCATCCTTAATGCCTCTCACAGTTGTTGTTCAAATGCTTTAATTATCTCTGCCTCTGATATATATGTTGTTCCAAACATGAAAGTTTGGGGTCCGAAATTGAGCAAATGAGTAGTTGAGGTCCTAAAATGGCTTGACCATATAGTTGGGGGGACAAAAAATGTGTAGGTTAGGTTGAAGAGTTCATTGAGGTGTCTCAGTGTATTGCTTCTATCCGATTCTTAATTAACACAGCTTGTCAACAGGTTCCTGTAATTCTTGAAGCGACCACGTTTTCAATTAAACTCCACAAGCGACGATCATTAGTTCTAGAGTGTCTAAATCAAGCCCCTGTTGATGGTTCAAGTGGGGCTTCATATGGTTCCTCTGGTAATTGCTCCGGGAGTTCCAATACAGGGAACCTCGACTTTTAGTTGGCACCAGATTGCGGTTAACTGCAATCTTTCAGGATTGTACTCATATTTACTTGATCACATCCAGTCATGGTGAAGGTTTGGTTGACTTTTGACAGATGCATTATCATTCTCATCTGAGCTTGAAGCAAAAATGAGTTTGTGGGAAAAAAATGTGCATTGTACTTTGTAATGCTGTAATCTGTTAGCTGTATTGAGTCTGACATACCCAAAAGATGAAATCAGATTGAATATAACTTTGAAGATCAATATATAATAGGTATAGAGCTGGTTAGAGTAGATTATATAGACTAAACATAATGATCTTTGTTTTCACATAATCTATTTTTCTGAAGAGCTTATTGTGCACTTTGCTATTTTATAATGTCCAAGTAAAATGTTTCATTAAACCTTGTACCATATAATTTGTGACACATGGCCTTTCATATTCATGACATGTGATTTGCATTGCTTAAATGTTTTATATTTTTGAATCAAATGTTGCCGTTTTGTATGACATGTGATTTGCATTGTTTAAACGTTTTATATTTTAAAATCAAATGTTACCATTTTGTTTGTTTCACGAATTTGTTGTGTTGGGAGAGGGAAGTTTGTACTTTGTAGGATGGTGTTTGTAAGTCATTCTCGAATTGCTCCACAGAAAGTGTACAATAATGAGACAGACTTTGGTTTTCATCTTTTAGAAAGTATACATGAGCTGTGTCCACTCACGCTGGAGGTAAATAGAATCTCCACATTGATGTTGGAGAAAGACTTTAAAGTGATCGATCAAATCAATTGAGTTAGTCCACGGGACAGGAAGCAAATTTCAAAATTTTATAAATATTGTGAGTAAATGTGCGGTTTAAATACATGCTCTAATGAGATATGGACTTGGGCCTGAAAGACTGAGATTGGTAGGCATCGCAACGAAGAGGATGGATGAGGGAATTAGGCGGAGCATAGTAAAGGGCAAACAACCAAGTCAGTTGAAGGGACTCTGATGGGATATGGACTTAGGCCCAAAAGACTAGGTTGACAGGCAGCGCAACGAAGAGGACGAGTGAGGGAATTGGGCGGAACATAGTAAAGAATAAACAACTAAGAGGGAGTCGTAATGAGGGAAGCCGATCGACTTAGGGAGACAGTCAGCAATAGGTGAGCTGGGTGATGGAAGGAGCCGGCATGTTCGCCCCGGGTTGGATGATTGAATGGACCGGTCGGCATAGAGCCAAGTAGGACCAATTGCATAAAGGAGTGGAGCCGCCCGGAGAGGACAATGAGAAGAGTAATCTGAGCACTTGGTAGGAGCGGAGTATGAGAGCAATAAGTACAGAGTTAATATTAATGGCAATAATGAGGCCAATGGTTGTGGAATGCGGTTCGGAGGAGACGGAAAACCAGCATAAACTCTCATGATTAAGGCATTTAAAGCATTTATAGCATTGATGATAGGGTGAGCGGGTTAAGCAATTTTAGTATACACGAGAGTTGAGAGAAAATGAATTTTTTTAAAAGCAATTACTTTTCTGGTAGTATTGACCTGTTGATTAACTGCTTTGGTAGTCACGAAATCAACATACTCATAAGTCACAACAAGTGATTCATAACTTTATTCTTGTCAAACTTCAAGGGGTTACAATGATACATCATATTTAATAGGGCGATTAACCTCCCTACAACAAAAGGATGTGAACACACACAGCCACAACTCTGAGAATACAATACGCTAAACCTCTCTCTCACACTTAGTTTCTAGGAAAGCTTATAAGCTTCTATTATGACTTATGAGCTAACATGAAAACCAAATGGTGCACCTTAAGCGGCGTTTAATGTTTGTCCAATATCAATTACAAACCTATACTTAACATCGTTCTTCTTAAGGCGGTCTATGGCAGTGTTCACATAATCCATGGGAACAACCTCAACATCCGGCGTTATATTGTGCTTTGCAGAAAAATCAAGCATTTCCTGTGTCTCCTTCAATCCTCCAACGCTACTCCCACCCACCATCTTTCTACCTGTCATTTCACATCACAAATATTTCAGTTTTAAATTTACATCATATAATATAATGTTTAGTATGCAAAGAGATTTATTCACCTGTAATCAAGGGAGCAACTGGGAGTTCAAGTGGCTTGTCTGGTACACCCACCATCACATGCTTCCCGTTTGTCTTCAATAAACTTAGCAATGGCAGAACAGGATGGGAAGCAGAAACCGTGTCGAGTATACCATCCAACGTGCCCATTGCAGCCTAATATATATCACAAATCAAATCATCATCACTACAACATATAATCACAAATGAATTGATTTAGCCCGCATGGGCAGCTCAACAGGTCGCAGAGGTAAAATTTGTCACAAGAGACCAAAAATCGAGCAATTAACCTCTCAGATTGAGGGGGCTCAAAAGTCTAGTTTCTGTTGGTCAATTGAGTTACCATGATTTATTCCTCCACAAACTGTGGGATGTCTGGGGCTAGCGATTCCAGCTAGTTCTTGAGTGGGATTCGATTCCAGCTAGTTCTTGAGTGGTAAATTGTAGATAATGACAAGAAATTAATTGATTTATCTGACGAGACAGTTCAGTTAGTTCTTGAGTGGTAAATTATGGAGAACAGAATTGATTTATATTACCTCCATTTGTTGGGGGTCACGGCTAATCAAGAACGAGTCTGCACCCAGATGGTCAATAGCCTCTTGCTTCTTACTAGCAGAGGTGCTGATGACTGTGACCTTCATTCCAAAGGCCTTCCCGAACTTAACCGCCAAGTGACCCAGCCCTCCAAGACCCACAACGCCAATGCTCATCCCTGGCTTGTCAAGTCCGTAGTATTTCAAGGGACTGTAAGTGGTGACTCCGGCGCAAAGCAGCGGAGCAGCCTCCATGGGCAGGTTTTCCGGCCAACGGACGACGAAGCGCTCATCGGCAACCATGATGTCGGAGTAACCACCATATGTCACGGTGCCGTTAGTCTTGCCGTTGGCAGTTGTTACGTTTTTGGGGCAATAATTTTCTAGATCGTTTTCGCAGTTTTGGCATTTGCAGCAGGAGCCTACGATATAGCCAACTCCTACTTTGTCCCCAACCTTAAATTTCTCGACCTTACTCCCAACCTCAGTCACCACCCCATTAATTTCGTGTCTGCAATCACCACACAACATAAATACCAAAAACTAGGGTGTCAGGATCAAGCGCTTAATACTATGCAAAAGTTATAATCCTTCACACATTTTCAAAAGTCAATAAGTTGTTGGGCTTGACACTTTATCAGCATCTGCCCAACAATCCCTTAACCACATGGTACTGGCCGGACTTAGCCCTTACCAACCTCCACCTAATAACAAAAAATCAAGATATTATTGACAAAACGTTATAGTCCACTACATATTTGAGAGTCAGGTGTTGAATTTAGCTCTTTTAACCGCCTCCCCCTAATAATCTTTTAGTCACATGATACTAGACTTACTCTTACGAACTCTGTCAAAAAAATAAATACCAAAAACCAGAAATGCATGTATATTATACCCAGGTACAATTGGATAAGTGGTGTTTCCCCAGTCATTCTTGATCTGGTGAAGATCGGAGTGGCAGATGCCACAATACAGAACTTTGAACTGCACATCTTTTTCGCCCGTTTCTCTGTACCCATCAATTAATTCAACAAACATTATGAGATAGTAAAGTAAAAACAACAAAAGCATTTCTGAAACTTATGTACAGTTTGAATTGGTTTGGATATACATAATATATACATACCGTCTGGAAAACTTGAAAGGAGAGAGAAGGCCAGAGGTGTCAGTAGCTGCCCATCCAAAGGCCTTCACTGGGAACTCTTCCTCGTACGATTTAGGTGCTGCCATTTTAGTTGCTTCAGACAAGGATGATTTGATGAGAGTGGTCGGAGAAGAAGAGATGAGAATATGAGATCTTAATGGTAAAGCAGGAACGCATATATTGGTATGAAAGAGTAAAGGGCCTTGAAGAAAATGTGCAAGTGGCATTATTATTGGCATATCAGATATTATCACCTTGTGGTTATCCTGATATTTGTCATCCGCACATACAAAAATAATTGAGCTTTGGTTTATCTTATATACTATCTCACTTGTTATGAAACGTGAATAACGCTATGATATACTATAAGATATAATGTTTCAAGATAAAGAAAGTAGCTTCATATAAACTGCTTTACAGCTACACTTGGCCTTTTTCTTTTTGTTTTATCTACTATTCCAAAATAATTAAAAGTAAACTCAAAGTATCATTGTTAGAGTCTTCATTGTTATACTATAAGTATTTAATTGTTTGTGATACGATATTAGCAGTACTGTAACACTATTTTAGTTAGCATCAAATCTTTTTAAATCTCTCTTTTAACGGGTGTGTTTGCATAATATATCTATGTTTGAAGATTATGCTGTAATCAGTGAGTTTGATACCCATTTAAGTGCATGAAGGATATATATATATATATATATATATATATATATATATATATATATATATATATCTCGACTGCCTGCATGGACAACTCAGTTGGTCACAGGAGTAAAGCTTGAGAACAATGATTTGATAGTATGGAAACAACATCTTAAAGTGAGGAGGGCTCCTCGTGCAGTTTTGCACAGTAATCAAAAATCTAGACTCTGTATTAAGTTGAATTATCATGATTTACATCCTCACATATACCTTGTCCGGCTGGGGCGTGGGCGACCGTTAAAGGAAATATCTCAGCTCACAGAATTCCTTGGTTAGCATTGCATCTCTTAAAAATATCTCTTTTTGACTTTGTTGTCAAAGTCTTTCAATTATTGGGTTTTGAACCGGTCCTTTCACATAAAGATATCAAATGAAGTGGTCATGAAGATGAAGAATAAAGCAATTTTTTTTTTCATCCATTCATGATCCATAAATTAAAGGCAATTATTTCTAATTTCAAGAGAAGATCATTGCTAACAATTATTTCATTTATTTTTAAAAATGTGTTTTTTTTTTCTTTTTATATATTACCTTCGTCCCATTTTATGTGTCTGATTCGATTTACGTGACTTGACTGAAGTTATTTTTAATTCAATTTAATAATGTTAAGTCGTATTAATATATAAAATTTATATATTTAGAAATTACATTAAAAGTACCATTAAACACAAAAAATTTAATTTAAAAATAATTAAAAAAATACTAAACAAAATAAGTAAACAATAAGGAGTTGGTTTGACCAATAAATAGTAAGTAAAACAGGTAAAATGGGACAAAGGGAGTAGCATATAGCTTATTGTTTCAAAAAAAAAAAAAAAGAAAAAAAAAAGCATAGCTTATGTATGTAGTTCTTAAAAAAAATATAAAAAATTAATTATACTTTCTTACACATTATCTTTATTTATAGTTTATTTTTGTCATAGGTACTTTTTCTCACTTTCACATTCTATATCAACACGACTACACTAAATTGGAAAATGACTTTGAGATGTATGAATTGAAGTAAGTAGTAGTAATCTCTATTGCAATGATCCACTTATATTTTTGTATGGAACATAAATACAGAGTGTGTCCTACAAATAAAAAAAAATAATAATAATGGTTATAACCATCACGAAAAATAAAAATAAAAGAGAGGTAAAAGTAAAATATGAAGTGAATTGAAATTTCCTTGTGCAAGAGTCGACAAGGTCTGACGTACAGAGTACAACATGGACCAAGAAAATAGCAACGAAACAAAATTAAAGTAGCAGCTAGCGGCATGCATGCCACTGTACTACGTACTCTACTATTATTTCTTATTTTAAATCAAACCCTATTATTTCGTATGTTTAATCAAAATCACACCACAACATCTTGAGTACGTATTACAACAACACTAAAACCTCAAACCTCAAACCTCAAACCTCTCACGCATAGCATAGCTTAGCTTAGCAGCGTTAGTTTAATGTTTTCCCAACATCTATCACAAATCTGTACTTAACATCGTTTTTCATAAGGCGGTCCAGGGCGGTGTTCACATAATCCATTGGAACAATCTCAACGTCTGGCGTTATGTTGTGCTTTGCAGAAAAATTAACCATTTCTTGTGTCTCCTTCATTCCTCCGGTAGCACTCCCACCCACTACTTTCCTTCCTCCTGTTATTCAATATAATTTAATTTGCTGGTCAAAGCGATTAACATACACAATCTGTACGGTTATCAACTAACAGCTAATTGTAAAACAAGATTGAGCCAAGGGGAAAACTGGGAGTTCCAATGACTTAATAATTGCACCCACCAAGATAAGCTTCCCATTAGTCTTCAATAAACTCAGCAATGGCAAAATAGGATGGGCCACGGAAACAGTGTCAATTATACCATCCAATGTTCCCACTGCACCCTACTCATACATATTACAATACAAACCAATTCATCAAAGCATTAGTACAGCCTTGCTTGGACAATGTACTAGTGTGATAAAAGGTCAAGTCTAACAATTGGTATGTAATCTGTCTTTTAAAAATGTGGCGGTATATAAGAAAATAAAGTTAACATTTACTATAGTGAGCTATAAGTTACGAGTCAGGGATTCAAGAGTAAAAAGTGTATAAGATCGATGAAGGGTCAAGTTCAGTACCTCCATTTGCTTAGGGTCGTGACTGATCAAGAACGAGTCTGCACCATGACGCTCAATTGCCTCTTGTTTCTTGCCAACCGAGGTGCTGATCACGGTCACCTTGGTCCCAAAAGCCTTGGCGAACTTAACGGCCATATGGCCGAGGCCGCCGAGCCCCACCACGCCGATGTGCATTCCGGGCTTGTCCAGTCCGAAGTATCTCAAGGGGCTGTAAGTGGTGATTCCGGCGCAGAGCAGAGGAGCAGCCTCCATGGGCAAGTTTTCCGGCCAATGGACCACAAAGTGCTCGTCGGCGACCATGATGTTGGAGTAACCTCCATACGTCACTGTTCCAGGGTCGTTGTAAGTCACGAGTACTTTGTCGCAGTAAACTTCGAGATCGTTGGCGCAGTTTTCGCAACTCCGGCAGGAACCAATTATAGTTCCCACACCTACTTTGTCTCCGACCTTAAATTTCTCGACCTTGCTTCCGACCTCAGTCACCACACCAACAATCTCGTGTCTGTATCAAATCTCACAGTCCTCTCAATATCACAAATTAAAGAATTGAATACAAATTAAAATGGATTGAATTAAGCTTAATTACCCGGGTACAATTGGATAGGTAGTGTTGCCCCATTCATTCTTGATTTGGTGAATATCTGAGTGGCAAACGCCGCAATACAAAACCTTCAACTGCACGTCTTTTTCACCCGTTGCTCTGAACCCATCAATTAACAAACATATATATAATATTATGAGCCCACACAAACAACAAACAATATTATATATTATATATATGTGTCATGTGTGTGTGTTCCGATGATTACCGTCTGGAAAACTTGAAAGGCGAAAGGAGCCCAGAGGAATCCGTGGCTGCCCATCCAAAGGCCTTCACTGGGTGCTCTTCTTCGTATGATTTAGCTGCCATTTCTTTTGAGATTTTTCAGAAAAAAAGCTTAGAGCAGAGCAGAGTGATGATCAGAAACCTTAACTCTATCGAAGTGTGAAGAAGTTTGCTTAGTGATAACGCAGGCCAGGCATGGTTGTATATATAGATCAGAGCTATAGCCGTCAGTAGGTGGCCGCCATGAGCCCTGACGTAGCGGCTGACGCCGGAGGCATTCGGCAACATCGTCCCTGTTTAGCTTTCACTGTTTGTTGATTCAAAGTTTTCAATGATTCTTAACAGAAGTTGATGGGTTGATAGATGCAGAATGATGTTTGGGAAGAATGCATTTTTAATCCTTCAATTAGTTTTAAATTTTAACTAGTTGATTGTAGAAAAAGTATTTTGGTAAAATAAGTTAGTGTGATTACATGTAAAATGACTTTCTCAAAAAGCTAATCAAAAAAAGTAACTTTTTGAATTTTAACATTTTAAAGTGTTACAAAAAACTAATTAATCAAATATTCATATGAATTTTTTAAACAAGTCAAATAACTAATAGTGGTCAAATAAATTAAAATTGACTGATAGACTAACTATTTTACCAAAAGAAACCATATTTTTAACTTTTTAAAAACAAGTTACTGTTTTAATAGAGATGAACAAAATTATTAAATTTTATTAAAATTTTACTTAGTAATGAGCATTTTAAAATTTTATTATCTTTAATTCTTTATTCTTTATAACTTTTTTAGTTTTTGATATTTCATTCATATAAAAAGTAAAAAAAGAACAAAAAAAAAAAATCTTTTCCCACAAATTTTCCTTTTCAATTGTAGTACATAGTTCCTATTTTCCCTACCTATTCAAATCAAGTTTTTTTTTATTTATTTATTTTTTTTTATTTTTTTATTTTTTTAAGTTTCATAGCACGAGATACAAAAGCCTAAAACAACACATGTACATGCACCAGAGTTCCCAATGCATTGTGAATCCTAGTCCACAGTATAAGAATTGTCCAACAAGCTTTTCCTTCAATATGAATGGATAAAATTAAATCAGCTCTGTGCCCCGTAACTATAAATAAGATGGAATTGCACGCTCCAGACGCCCCTACATCTTGGCTCAATAGTTTGTGGAGGTGTCAACCATGATTGCTCATTGCGGACAAAGAGCTCCTTCATTTCCCTTGTTTGTGGAGGTGTTAATCATGCATGCTCATTGTGAGCCCCCATTGAAATCAACTTTGATTGGGATGGTGTTCGAACCTAAGACTTTTCTTATTGAAATCGATGAATAAGTTAACAAAGAATATAATTTTTATCAGAAAAGTTAACAGTGTGTGTGTATTTAAAAAAATAAAATCATATAATTAATGATAAATTTGAAAATCTCAATGAAAACTTAAAATTTGAACAATTTGAACCATTCATTTTATTTAATAATTTGACGGGCATTTTACCTCTCGGGCCCGATAGTTTATGGAGGTGTCAACCATGGTTGCTCACTGCGTACAAAGAGCCCCTTCATTTCCCTAGTTTGCGAAGGTGTTAATCATGATTGCTCACTACGCACGAGGAGCCCCCTCATTTCCCTTGTGGAGGGGTTAATCATGGTTGCTCACTGCGCACAAAGAGCCCTTAGTTTGTGAAGGTGTTAATCATGGTTTCTACCACTGCGCACAAGAAACCCCTCATTTCCGATGAGGGATTAATCATAGTTACTCACTACGCACAAGCTAAGGAGCCCCCTCGTTTCTCTCATTTTGAAATGTTGCTTCCACACTGTCGCTAGTGAGACTCAATCTTTAATTTCTTGTGACAAATTTTACCCACGTGACTAATTAAGCTATCCATACGAATCCATAAATATCTTTTTTCTTTCAAAAGGTTAAATCCGTAACTATCTTTCATGATAGGCTTAGAGGGGGAAAGAGAATCCGGTGGTGATGGCAGACATAATCAAGAATATAATGTAACTTTTATTCTACTTACAAAACAAATATCTTATTTCATAAGATACAAAAATTGCTCACAACAAAATATTGTTTTATTTTTTGACTGATTTTGCGAATTGGATCAATCATAAATCATTAATAATTTTTGTTTTGTTTTCTTTTAGGGTGAGAAGGAAAATCCGTGATCACTATCCAAATATGTGTATTAGGCAAATCTCGTCTTCAAACTCTAGCCAGTAAAGACCACAATGAGATAATAAACCAGCCTAAGTTGCTCATAGCTAATCGATTCAAATAAAGAAGATTGGAATTCGAACTCAATAATAGTACCAACAGATGAAGTTTATTTTCTATTTGTGTCATAATAGCTCATTATTTTAATTTATCTTAAAATCATATAAAAATCAATATACTCAAAAAAAATATATATATATATAAAAATCAATAATGTAATTAAGATTCTAATAATTTAGTGCAGTATTGGTGTAATAAAATATAGTTCCAACTTGCATATTTCATACTTTTTAATGTTGTTAAATAACATATTTAAATATAATAGTTTGTGGGACGTTAAAAGGGTGCATATCTTTAGGCCGGGAGCACCGGAGCATATTAGAATCATTGATCGACCTCTTGACTTGTGAGTCCCTTCATCAGGGTTTGAGATCTTTAGTGGCTTATCATTCTTTTTTCCATTGAAATTCAAACATGAGACATCTTATTTGAAGGGTCACAGTTATGCCTCTCAACTACAAGACCTTTGACAACTCATTATTCTTTTTTTCTATTTCAACGGTTTATTAAAAATCGCTTGGGAGTTTCAAGGGAGATGCTTTCTGGTGACGGATAATCAATTCTAACATTTATGGATGTGATTCCTCCCTTGATAAAATAATAATAATAATTTGTACATTATGTTCGTTTTTATTGTATACGGTGTTAAGCCAATATGTGGCTACATTGCTTTTAGTTGTTACTTGTTCTATTTGTGCTCCTATAGACTAGTTATATTTGGTTGCAACTTCCTACTATCTACACTCCTCCATGTACTATATATAGGTTGTAATTTACATCAGTTAATTCCTTCACATGGTATCAAGAGCCATATTCCCCTAAGATTTTTTTTTTCTCTTCTCTTTCACCATTCTTATATCCATGGCTACAACCACCACTGACATTGTCCACCCCAATGCTCCGTCTAATTTTCCTATCAAACTCACCCCCCTCAACTTTCCTGTCTGGAGACGCCAAGTTCAGTCCACCCTGATTGGCTTTAATCTCCGCGGATACATCGATGGTTCTATCAAAGAACCCGCAAAATTCAATGATACTGCACAAACAACTCCGAATCCAGCATATTTGACTTGGTATCGCTAAGATCAGATAATTACCAGTGCTTTACTTGGGAGCTGTTCAGACACCATACAACCTCTTATAACTTCCGCATCCACTACTTGTGATGCCTGGCAACGGCACGTTGCTAGCTAGGCTAGTGCCTCCCGAGGACGGATCCTTTCCCTCAAGGCCAAGCTTACTAGAAATCCGAAGGGTAATCGGTCAGTCACCGCATTTACTATCTACATTCCTCCATGTACTATATATAGGTTGTAATTTACATCAATAAACTTACAGTTAATTCCTTCACATACGGAGTATTTATAAATTCTTTCTAATTTTATGGGACCCTTCCGATCCATTATCTAATAATAATAATAATAATAATAATAATAATAATAATAATAATAATAATAATAAAGTGAAATGTCATTTTTATCCTCATATTTAACAGTCCTAACACTTATTTAACGGAGAGGAGGAAAATAGCCACTTCAAAAACAATTGAGGGGGATAAAGTGGTTACATAAACAACACAGGGGGAAAAAGTGTCATTTTCCCTTCTTCTTATTATATAGTACTTCACCCACATCAACATTCTCAACATTATTATTTTTATTCATAGTATGCTGAAACTTATATGCTAATTACTTATATATATTATTACTCCGTAATAAACATCAACAAAAAAAAAAAAAACTATTTCATTAGAAATTCATAACAATATTAAACAATAAAATTTATAATAAAAGACTTGATCAAATAAAATATTTAAAAATATAATTACAAGTTGCATAAAATAAAAAAAATAAAAATATATAAGTATTTATATGAATATTATGAAACATATATTAAAATTTAATGATGAAAAATTTGCTTTGTTCATGTATTTAGGGAGAATTAGAGAAAGTTAGGGATTAAAAAAATCATAGAAAAAAAAAATAAAAATCAATATAAACAAGCAATAATGAAGTAAAAATAATATTATTTCGAATTTTTAGATGAAGATTCTAAAGTTTAGGAGAGAGAGAAAATTGGTAGAGTTGGTATGAGGAAAATATAGGATAATGAAGAAAAAAATAATTTTATTGAATTTAGATAGGTTTATAGAGTTTAAATAGGGAGAAAAAAATAGAGTTTGAATAGAGAGAGAAAACATTCAAAGTCGTTAGAAGAAAATTTGAAATCTTGGGGTTGATGGTTGGATTTCAACTATTTATATTTGAGAAGGAAAAGTCTACAAAAGTCTTAAAATTAAAAATTTTACAAAAGTTCATAACTTTTTGAATACCACATGACTTTTAAAGACTCTTTAAACGTTTTAATCGAATACCACACGACTTTTAAAGACTCTTTAAAAATCTTGATTGAATACCGTCTGACTTTTAAAGACTCTCTAAAAGTTTGAATTGAATACCTCCAAACTTTTAAAGTTCATAAAAGTCTTTAAAACTCCATGAAAGTCATGATTGAATACACCCCCTAAAATAATTTCTGTGAAATATAGCCAAAATGATTCAATTCCGAAGGTCAAAAACGAAAATATTCGAAAGTCATTAAATTCCGCACTGTATAAATATTTGAAAGTCAACCAATATAAATACCGCTGCGCCGTCGCTGGCCCATTCGACGTCAGATCAGTCGTCGTCACCACCACAAATGTGTCACAATAATTTCAATATTTATCTGAGGAAAATTTGAATTTAGGTACTTATACAGTTAGGGCAACCCCAATAAGGGGTTCATTCCCACATTTTAGCACAGTAAAATCTCCATGAGTTGCTTTTCGACAAATGGGATAACAAAGTTTGGCCTACATTTTTCTCCTGCAACTCACAAAATTTTGTCAGAAATTTTATAAAAAAAAAAAAAACAATAAATGAAGGGTGAGACGCGCAGGTGCGTCTCACCCTTCTTCCTAGCGGTACACGCGCCCGCCAGGGCGTTTCAGAGTGGCCGCCAACTGGCG